ATGGAAATTATAAAAGGGAACCAGTCAGAAATAAAAAATACAATATCTGAAATGAAGAGTATATTATAGGAAATCAACAGAGTGGATAAACGAGAGGATCACTGATATAGAGGATGGGGTAGCGAAGGACACCTAATCAGAACAGCAAGAAGAAAAAAAGAAATGAAGATAATTTAAGGTGCCCATGGGACATCAAACATAATAACATTCACATTATAATACAAATTATAATGAAGAGAGAGCACAAGAAGTTGAAAACCTATTTGAAGAAGTAATGATGGAAAACTTCCCTTACCTGGTGAAGGAAACAGATATACAACCCCAGGAAACACAAAGAGTCCCAAAAACAATGAACCCAAAGAGGCCCACATAAAGACACATCATAATTAAAATACCAAAGGTTAAAGACAAAGAGAACTTTAAAAGCAGCAAGAGAAAAGCAGTGAGTTACCTATAAAGGAGCTCCCATAAGACTGGCAGCTGATTTCTCAAAAGAAACTGCAGGACAGAAGGGCTTGGCACAAAATATTCAAAGTGATGAAACTCCAGGATCTACAACCAAGATTACTCTACCCAGCAAAGCTATCATTTAGAGTGGAAGGATAAAGAGCTTCCCAGACAAGAAAATGCTAAAGGAGTTCATCACTATCAAGCTAGTATTACAGGAATTTTTGGAGGGACTTCTTTAAGAAGAAGAAAAAAGATGTATCAAAAACATGAATAAAGAATGACAATAACTACATATCTATCAACAAGTACCTCAAATGAAATGAAAAATGAAAAAGAATTAAATGTTCCAACCAAAAGATAGGGTGGTTGAATGGATAAGAAAACAAGACCCTTACACATGCTGCCTACAAGAGACTTGCTTCAGATTAAAAGGTACATATAGACTATAAGTAAGGGGCTGAAAAAGATATTGCATGATAGACCTAAGAGGGTATTGTGAATGGAGTAAGTCAGATAGAAAAAGACAAATGCCACAAGATTTCACGTACATGTGGAATCTAAAGAACAAAATAAACAACAACAAAAATGGAAACAAACTAATAGAGAATATTTTGAGGGCTACTAGATGAGAGTGGGATCGAAGGGATCGGTGAAAAAGGACAAAGAGATAAAGAACTACAAATGGATAGTTACAAAATAGTCACAGATATAAAGTATAGCATAAGGAATATAGTCGATAATATTGCAATAAACACATAAGGGGTAGAGGGGTTCTAGATTTAGTGGGGTGATTACTTTGTGAGTTATACAGATTTCTAATCACTAGGGTGAACAACTGAAACTAATATATTATTGTATGCCAACAATAATTTTTAAAAAAACCTCATTGAATTGTACAGTGTAAAAAGAAAAAGAATTGCAGCATGACACAGTGTACAAAATCTAGCCAAAATGAAATTACGTCATTTACAGATACACACGAAGTGGCAAAAAAAATTAAAGAAATGCAGGTAAGTGACTACTATAAAAATCAAGACAGTCATTACCTCTAAGGCAATGCAGAGATTTGTGATCAAGAAAGATACACAAGTAGATTATACTCTGTTGGCAATATTCTAATTCTTTATCTAGGTGGAATTTTCCATAGACGGCGACACTATTCTCTAGGATCTTCCATTGTAACTAACACTTCCCAATAGAAAATAAGTGCTGGTGACTATTCAGACAAGTAGTATATGAAGTGAACTATGTCATGAGTAGGATAAAGCTTCTGCCTTGCTCTCTGTATCAGAGCACTCAACCTTGGAACTCAATTACCAAGAAGTGAAGATATCTAAATTTGCCTAAGAAAAGAGACTTCATGGAGAGACTACATGGAGAAGCCTCAATGGAGAGGAACTGAGGCCTCCAAGCCAACTACCAACATTAATCGCCAAACTCATGAGTGAATAAGCCTTTAAGCCCTCCAGTTGAAGGGCATATAAATCTAAGAGAGAAAAATTTCCTTCTAAAATATTGGAGCCACAACAGGGGCTTGCTAAATATCTCTTAAATTAAGATGACTAAAACCAAATCTTCTGAAACCTTGCCTCTATATAAATCTTGGACAGAAGGTTGGTAAGCCATAAATTCTAGGGAGGGGTTTTGCACAAAGCTCATCAGAGATTCATTTCCTGTTTACTTGATGAAAATGAACATTTGTAATGCTAGTTTTATTATGTCACCCCCAATTAAAACCTTTCTAGGGCCCCCAGAGCCTACCGTATCTCTTAAAAACACTCAGTCTTATATTTAAAGCCCTTTTCATATTACAGGTATCTTTCAGGGTCTTAATTTTAATAATTACATAATGTACACTTCCACTCAATAACTGTTAGCTGAAAGTATAATTTAATAAATTAACTAAGTATTTTGAAATAGGAAAATCTAAGCCTATTACCTTTTAGTTTAAGCAGTCATTCATATGCCATGGAGCAAGCACCTGGAAGTTAAAGTCCATTTCACTTTAAAAATAAAAATCTATAAAAGAGATTTTATATGCCACCCTCACTCAGTAGGATACCACAAAGATTAATGAGGTAATGCAATAAAAAGTGCTTTAAGCTAATCATATGAAAGGTGCTTTACAGAGGTATTTTATTGTAATTATTCTCTGCATTTAATGCCATATCTAAAAAAACTGGACTAGAAAAGGGAGTAACTTTCCAGTATACAAAAACTGTTTCAAAATCATCTGTTCCAATCTTGACTGTTAGCTATTTTTTAAAAATAATTAAAATCCTTATCTTACACAATTGTTTGAATTACAGATTAATGTAATAAATTGAGACAATGTATTTGAAGTGACTGGTTCTTGGTAAGACCCTACTAAATTCTTGTTTTTGTTACTGTTTGCAGTCAAAATAGTCATAGTAGAAATATTTTTAGAAGTTATATCAGTGCAACTTGCAGGAGTTATCTGCGAAAAAAGGCAGTCCAGGGAAGCCAACTAAAGTCTATTAATAGCAATTTAATAGACTATCCAGAAAATAAATGGAGATCATATTCTTGAATGATGCTTGCTTGCTTGCTTGTTTGCTTGTGTGTTTTTGAGTGACCTATTGTCCAATCACACCACATTTTAAAACTGAACTTTCAGAAACAGTTCACTATGATGGCCCAGTTGAGATAAAGTTGTTTAAGAAGTGACTTATCACTGAATGATCATTACTGAAGCATGTTCTTTTCTGGAACACAGGATGTATAACCTAAAGACAGACTGCTTACAATATAGTAATGAATTAATTGTGTTAACAGTCAATATTAATAACCATGATATTTGAACAAAAGTCATGGTGATAAACTGATATTCATCACACTAAACCTATAAGCATTACACTTCCTGATTTCAAAATATATTACAAAGCTACAGTAATCAAAAGTTTGGCATTGGCATAAAAATATATGAATCAAGCAATAGTAGACATAAAAAGCTCAGAAATAAATCCACACATGTACAGTCAACTGATCTTCAGCAAGGAAGTGAAAGATCCTATATCCCATTTCTAATCCTTTGAACCTTCTACTGAACTAATGTGTTTTTATCTTTAAAATGTCTCAGAAGATAAAAGATGTCCCTGTGCTTATAAGATTTTGAAATTTTAAGGAATTAAAAGAAATTTGCTCTGTGAGCAGGTTTTTAAATTTGGCTTAAGGCCTCTGATTCAGGGAATAAGCAATCTCATTCCAATTCTCTCTTCTACTGGAGAGATGTCCCCTTTCAACCTGTGTCTCTTGGTCCACTACAAATCAATGAACTCAGGACCCAATATACTATGTCTTAAAAATCCATTTAGAAAACAATTGCTCCATTCAAAGTTCATTTCCTTCCTTTATCAGAAATTGCTGGAAATGTAATTTGCAGCAAGCATTTCATTTCTTGTCTTGAAATAGATTGAGGTAAATGTAAAGTCAATGATTAGATAAATGTAATGTCTTGGGTTGATGCCACAATGCAATATTCAATGGTGTGGTCAGTACTGATGGATGTTTTGTATAGTTTCTCAGCTGTATAATGGGACAAATTCCCATGGAGCTCTTTAAAATACTATGTGGCTCCTCTCACTTAATATTACCAAAAGTACCTTGGCACAAATACAAAAAGCAAGAGAGATTAGTGCTGAGCATGCAAGTGTAGTCCTCTTTTGCTCTGTACCAAGATCGTCCTTTACACAATCAACTGTTTCTGTGTACAATTTATTTACTGAGGTGTATTGCACGCAATAAATAACACAGCAAAGATTATTCCTCCTTCAAAAATCACTTTTATGAGGCTATAAATAGAAAGCCTGTACCAAGTAATCTCCAACAGTACAGTTAAAGATTAAACCCTGATGAAGTTAACACACATAATACGAGCATGCACACAAGCATTATAGCTATAGGAACACATTGTTTATGAACTCTCTATTTTAATGGCAAAGAGACATATTTCTCTTCTCTATTCCTTGCTATCAAGGTACATATCATTCGATATAAAAGAGGGAGAAAGGAAAGAGGTAACTTTCTTTGGTAAGGAATAAAAAACAGAATATCAATACTGCCTTTAGGAAAATTTTCTGGAAATGTAGATTGCAAACCCAGATTGCATAACACAGGAATGAATCAAATGATACAATGATAAATACCGTTTTTTAAGTTCCACTTCTTGTGATGCCTGTTCTTCCGTGGTTGTATTTCACTGTCACACAGAAACCCAGCATTATCAGGAAGGATACCCAGTCAGTATCATGTGTTTCAGTGACCAAAATGATAAATTTCCAGAATTTACCTTTTTAAAATTAAAATGTTTAATATTTTCTAACTCATCTAACAAATAATTATTAAAATCAGCACACCAACACTTTATTTACTAGAGTCTGCAAGTCCAGCACAGGATCATTTATGATTTAGAAAAATTTGTTGTCTCTCCTATTGAAATATATGTGATCACTATTTGCAACACTTAAAATAATTTTTATGACATTTTTTACTGATTAGTAGTCATATTAGTGAAAATCCTATAGTGGTACTTGCTTTTGTAGCATATATACAAAAACTGGAATAGTATCAAGAATATCAGTATAGCTCCTGCATAAGGACGACATGCAAATTTATGAAGCATTACCTACACACACATACACACAAAACTATATTAACATCTGTTCTATGTCATGAGAAAAAAATCTTGATATATTTTGGAAGCATATGCTTATGACAATAACTCACAAAAATAGATATTTCTGAAATTTTTGTTTCTAATTTTGTAATTTAAAATTATTCTTTGTAAATAGCTTTTTAAAAAATCTCCAAAAGTATTTTGGATTTTTCTCATTATTGCTAGAATTCGATAATCAATCCTCTGCTTTGGTATTTCTCTCTCTAACCTTTTCTTCTATTTCTAGTGTTACCAAATTGAATAATGATATATCTTGGTTGAGTTTATTTCAATTCACTGGGCTGGTACTTGCTGAACGACATCAATATGGGGTTATTTTTTTCCATCCTAGGGACTCTCACGAATTATTTCTTTATTAATTTTTCCTCACTGCATTTTCTCTGATATTCTATAGTTCTATCAGAAAATATTTAAACATGTGGATCATTTCTCCACTATTTTCCTTCTCTCTGCCTTTTTTCCTCTTTTAGATTTCCTCTACTTTATCTTCCAAACCTTCTACTAATTTTTTCAAATAGATCCAAGTCTATACTTTTGGATGCAATAAATAACTTCTCTTTTCCTCTTGAGAATGAGTTAGAAATTTTTGTCTTATTTTTAGTTTTTCTCTCTTCCTTGCATTGTTTCTTCTGATTTTTAAAAATTTGTTTTATTCTTTGTTCTTGTTGGAGGCAGATTCACTAATCGTGACAGAAGTTTTAATTGCTAAAGAACTCGCACAGGACTCGCAATTATAATATTAGGAATCTACAGATTATTGCAAGAAAAGAATACAAAGTGGCAACAACATTAAACTAAGGAAATGCATCTCAACTAAAGGCTGCCTCATGCTACAGATCAGAAGAGGCCAGGAGCTCTCTTTGACTGGCCTCCACATGCAGAACTGCAGTGGATGCGCTTTCTCTCTCAAATCAGAAACCACCAAGGTAGGTACAGAGCACCCCCGGAACCAAGGAATCGAATGTAGGCATATTTTTGGATCGTAACCAGCCCCAAAGGCACAGTCCTCTGGGCGTCTCACTTAAACCAAGTGTAAATAAACCATCATCTCACGGTTATCAAGAAACAATGCTCACAAGCCAGTACAACCACCAGAAACTCATCTTGGCCATTCAGATGAAAGCAACACTATTAATCTGTACAAGTCATGCTCCGCCCGTGTGTCAATACGGTCTTGGTGCGCCTCTTCAGCAAAATAGCTCAATCTAATTCCAAGACTTTCCTTAAAACTATGAAACGGAGATACCAACTAAAACTCTGAATACACATGCATGGCTTACCTCTAAACCCCAGGTGAACACTGTCTTTGGAGAATACTGAACGGAAACTTGCGAAACTTGATTATCTGGGGCTGTTGAATTCTCTAAAGAAGGTTAAGATGCTTCCAGAAGCCAGAACCAGCCGTAAGTTCCCGTTGGGGAACTTCTCGCGGGACAGCAGAAGCGGAAGCCTCGCGATATTTCCTCCGCCAGGTCTTTTCTGCTCACAGCCCTGGGACCCGCCCTCTGCCCTACACTTTCCACCAGGTTGTTCTGGCATTTGCGAGAGGAGATGTTTCAGTTGTTGCTCCTGACACTCCCTTGAGCGAAAAGTTTCGATTCATACTTTGGACAGCCACAGATGTTACAAATTAACAGATAAAACATTCACTGGATGAAGCACTTTTCATGGAGACTGTCGCACTCTGACAATTATTGAAGCAAGACTAAAGATGTGTAAACACTCCGTTATTAAGGCCATGGTTTAATATGGGGCCACTGCCACAATGCTGTCTGTCTATGATCCTCTCATGCAGACACTTTTTCCATTCCTATGTTCACAAAATCTTCAGGGTGAAGAAGTGAAGAGAGCACTGCATGGCTCTGATCTGGTGCTGTCTGTTCGCAATTCCTGGATTTTTCCCAAGTGAAATTCAAAATGTTGCTCTCCCAGTAGATAGGGGTAAAAGGGGTTAAATATATGGCAATAGAAGGAAATTTAACTTTGGTGAACACAATGCAACATGCATATGACATGTTATTGATTTGTACACTTGAAACCTATATAATTTTATTAACCAATGTCACCCTGATAAAAACAAATTCCTCTCTCAAGGCTTTGTCCTTAAAGTAGCTCATAATGTAAAAACAGTGTGGGGAACATACATTCCAAGGATAGGGGAGAAGGTAAGGAGCATCTGATTGCCTAGGTCCAGATAGAGGTCATGTCCTGTCAATCCAACTGTTAGATGTGTGGGCAGCAGCCCTCTCTAGCATATGAGTGGGTCCGCTATAGAAAGGTATTACCATCAGGTGCCCATTCAGTGATCAGACACTATAGGACCAGCAGACGTCTAAGGTCAAAAAGTCAGGTATTTAGTAGGAACTTGTATGGAAAGCTCTTTCCTCCATAAGAATTATACATGTGCCCCAATCCTTTTATGTTAATGTGGCTGCAGCTTTAGGAATTTGATCTGATTGTGCATACCATACATGCTGACTGAGGGAGGCAGTACTCTCGTGTGTGGGATATGCCACACCAGGACTCCCACCTTCTTCCCTCTTTCAATGGTGCATGTTCCATTCTAGGAATAGTGTGTTTAAACATGTCTAGCTTTGTAGCACGAACATGAGATCCCAATGGAGATTGAGTAATTCCTCCTCCCTCCTGAGTGAGAGGTAACTTACCCATCCTGGTGAGATTTCCCATTGCAAATTCCAGTAGATGACCCTTTTCCCAGGTGTAATGGAGCATGGTGTTCTCAGCAGCATAAAATGTTGATCCACACTGAGAGTTAAGAAATGGCTGACTCCCAGGACTTTCATACTTTATAGTATTTGGTGCAGGGGTCCGCAGTCTGCCATATGAGGCAGTAAGTCCTACTGGTTGATCATTCAAATGTATTAAAGCCTGGGACAATACTTCAGTCCACTTGGCCAAGGCGTTTTTACCTGTTAGTAATTTAATCTGCTGTTTTAATATTCCACTCTTTCTTTCTACCAACCCTACTTCCTGGATTATAGGGGAGATGGAACCTCCATTCAATGTCATGTTCTTTGCCAGTCTTGCATATCATAACCTTTGAAATATGATTCCTGATCACTGTCTCTTTGATGAGGATAGCTCTACATGGCACTCAGCTTCTCTAATTCCCTAATGGTGGCAGCCTGGTTTGTGTGGCAACAAGGGAAAGCTTGGGTTAGGACAGATGTGGTGTCCACACAAACGAAGGTGTATTTAGAACCCTCACTCGGAGGGGCCAATATAATCAATTTGCCAGTCTCTCATTGATTGAGAACTCTGGTGGATGGCCCCAGACTCCTTTAGCAGTTGCCTTTGGGCATTGTTTAGAACACACAGGACTGCATTGACCAAGTCACTGTATACCATCCAGGAACTACAGTGGCCGCTTTTCCTATGCACCCAATCTACTGTATGTACTTAAGGGTCAGTTGCTAGGCTCATACCTGGGCTAGGGAATCAGCTTCCTGATTGCCTGGGAGTGTTAGTGCCTTCTGCACCGGAATGTGGAAGATAGTGAGCATGAGTTCCGACTCTTGCAGTTGAATCCAAATGTCTTCCACATATACTGACCCCACCATGGCTTATTCATGATCATCTACCCATCAGCTTCCTATTGTCCAAGCCATAAGGTTAACTCCTTTAAAACAACCCAACTATCAATGCAAAGGGTTAACGACCAAGGCTCATGAATGATCACCAGCCAAACCACTCTGAGTTCAGCCCACCGGCTATTGCAGTTCATTTCTGTTTCTATCCAGGTGGTGTCACTGTTGGGCTGAATAGTGACTGCAATTTATTTGGGCTGGTTGCCCTGACTAGGCTCATTTGTATACCTGGTATTAGGGAGAATTTCTTCCCATACCCTCTCTCTAGAGGCCACTGAGGCCATCACAGGAACATGAGTCAGATATTTGGAGGATCTAAATACTCTACAGGACCCAGTAAAACCCACATTTCTAAAGACAGTTGGTTGATGGACAGGGTACTCCTCTGCTACAAATAGATATGCTACTTAGTCAAAATGAGAGTTTGAGCCATGGCCAAGGTGGATGGATGGAACATATTATCAACCCACCCCTTGAAAGGAAGGGAAGTTCTTAACATGACATGTTGTTCCTTTGTGAGAGGCACTACCTGGAGGTACACACTTTAAGGAGCTGTTACTCCATGAGGGTATATTGGATTCCTGCTCCCTTCTAGATTTGGCACCAAAATCCTAGGGGGTACTTGTTCCTTCTGTCATCTCTGTCATAATGCCCAGAGTTAGATACACCTGCCTCAAAAGGTAGCCCTGCTTAGGAAATGCCCAGAGCTTTAATCTGCTTCACTAGTATTTTTGCCTGCTCAAAATCAGCTTGTTGTTCTGATTCCCTATGTGCCCTTTCTTTACCAGGTGATATAAGGAATGGAAGCAATGTACCAGATGGGAAATAAAAGTCTTCTAAAACCCCCCAACCTCTAAAAAGTGTGTACCTCTTTCCCATTCTTAGGAGTTGGATATGGCTGCAACTTGTCAATATCAGCTTCTGGGACAACACATGTCTTACCTGACCATACAACACTCTAAAATTTTATGATGGTGCTTGGGCCTTGAATTTTCTGCAGGTTCAGTACCCATCTTCTGACTGTCAGATGTTCCATCAAAGTCTGCAGAGTGTCCTCCACAGAGGCAAGTCTTCCCATGTCAACATTATATCATCGATGTAATGGGCCCATTTTATTGATGTGGGAAAGAACAGGAACAGATCTTGGGCTACCAACCCATGACATATCGTGGGGCTGTGTAGGTAGTCTTGGGGGAGCACTAGAAAGGTCTATTGTTGCCCCTTCCCCATGAAGGAAAATTGATCCGGGGACTCAGCAGGCAAGGGTATACTGGAAAAAGCATTTGCTAAGTCCAGTACAACCTAGCATACTCCTGGGACTGTGGTCAAAATATGTAAGATGGTGGCAA